AGCCAAGAAAAACTGAGCTAAAGGGCTCGGAGTCTGAGAACAGGCAGTCAGAACAAAAGAATGCACATTTAGGAACTAGAGGACAGATACGATGGCAGCACCTTGATAAACACGCGAGAGCCCTCGGAAGGATGGGAAAGCCTGGGCACCTGGAACTAGTGAAAGGGAGGAGGCTGGTGCAAAAGGCGAGCCCCTCAGAACAAGTCCACCATCACTTCCTGTGTTCTGGAGACGTCACACTAAAATAACAAGTCAGTCCTTAAGAAGACAAAATCACAAATGCACATCAAAGACATCGGTTTCCCAGCAGGGAGCCAGGAAGAGCTCCTTGGAATATTTAGGTCTATCCAGGGCAAGGGTGTACAGCAATATTCAGAGGTGTTGCTAATGGCCCCAGGGTCCTTCTAACTATAAATACTATGGGAGCATTCAAGAGTTTGTCAGCTCAGAGCAAAGTCTTGTTCCACGAGGTGAATGTGAAGCTCATTCCAGTCTCCTGCCTTTGCACTTCCCTCTGCCTGGACCGCTGTCCCTTTATGGTGTCTGTCAGGCTTTCTTTGCCCCAGCCACCATTTAGATCTCAGCTCACGTCTCACTGCTCCCAGAAGCCTTCCTTGACCATTCTCCACAACTCCTGACCCCTGCCAGGCTTTGTCCCTTTCCCCAGTTACTTCCCTTCCCAGAACTCCCCACCATCTGAAGCTGTATTATTTGCTTACTTGAATAGTGTCTGTCTCCACCTCCAGGAATGCAAGTTGCCTTAAGACGGGGTGTTTGTGGGTTTCGTCTATCATCGTATCTCCAGCTCTGGAAGTGGGGCCAGTTACTGAGTGAGCACTCAAAAAATACATGCTGACGGGAAAAAGGAGGCTGAGAGGCCGGGAGAGAAGGGTCAGGGACATCTCTAGAAGGATGGAGGCCAGAACCACGCACGTGTGCAGGGTGTGTGAGCGTGTGGGAATATCAGAGATACTTGCACTTGAAAGGAGACCCTTTCCATAGCTCTTAGAATAACATTCATGATCGAAACTTGAAAATCTAATTTTAACGAGTGCAAAAAAGAGAACGATGCAAGTCTGAGGCACGGGGCCCCAGCCGCTCAACCCAGCGGGATTAGGGAAGGTGGGAGGCAGAACTGCTTGAGAGGAACTGTGTGGCACCCTGGGTCAGGAGGAGGGAGTCTGCACCAGGTGACCTTCCCCGAGCAGAGCAACGTCCTCAGAGGGCGAGGGAGATGGAGGTAGAATGAGGCTGAAGAGGGGGATTTGGGGCAGTGAAGCTCTCTCTGGAGTGTAATTCTGATTCAAGAGCTAGCACGAGAACCACATGGGCTTCGGAGGGGAGACAGCACGATCGCAGTAGCTGAGAGCAGGAAGAGAAACCTTCTTTGGAGGTCGCGAAGGGAGCAGAGGATGGCTTGCCCTTCAGGTAAGCACCTCTCGCCCATGCTCTTCTCTTTGGATAAATGCACACATCCAGGAGGGCATAGATGGATCCGAACACTGAAGCCCCCCAAACTGCTTCATGTAACTGGTTGTTCAGAGAACCAACAAGTCAACAGCAGGCAGTGGCTACTTCTGGCTGGAAAACCTCAAGTGCATTCATCACGGGAGGGGCTGATGGGTATATATTTAAGGCTGGGGTCCCAGAGTGTGAGAGCAGAGATCTAAGTGGACCAACCCTTCTCCAGATGCTCCCGAGGCCAGGATACATTAGGTGGCCTATGCGAACCTTTAAATGGATTTTAGTAGCTTCGTGCAATGGCATTTCTTGATGGCATGAGGATAAATCTCATGAATAAAGGAGGAGCAGTAATTCAAGACATTAGAAACTGGCTCAGGATGCTACCCGAACCCAAGAACAGCTACTGTAATCAAAGTATTGGAAGTTGCCTTGACCAAGAGGGAAAGAAGCTGTTAAACTTTCCAGCTGTTTCTCAGAGGAAGATAGAGTTTGGCTTGTCTTTTGTTTTTAAAGATGGAAATAACCATCCCTTATTGCAGAAAATAAAACAACAGTACAACTGGAATTTTACATAAAATATAAACATCCTAAAAATTCAGTAAATGCAGAGTTCAAGTACTATTGAACATCGAAAGCTAGATTCTGATGTTTGCCATGTGTGAGAGCCTTCACATTGCATGGGGGGCTCCCCTTCTGTGGAAGAGACTTCCTTTCCACTTGTCAAGAGCAAGAACAGAAAATAAATCACTTTATTTAAAGTTAGGCTGGAAGAGGGGGTGGACTGAAATGTTCTTTTTACTAACAAGTTCTAGTAATTGTAATATCTTAGCCAATTGGTGAGTTTTGTCATCATAACTGCTATGTGATTATCACAGAGATCTGCATTCATTCCATATCTTTAAGCACCTACCATAGGTGTCACATACAGGGGTGGGAGCATATATTCAGTGCCATTAAGTCATTCAAGATATTTCTGACTGCAGCCAGATTATCTGCTACACACTGGGAGAGAAGTTTGGAGGCAATTAAGACATGTCTTCTGTCTTCCTGGAGCCAGGATCTGGCCATGTTGATTTAACTTGACCCTGACTTGATTTGCATTTAAAAGCTTTGGGTCCCAAGAAGACGCGAAGGTGAGGGGAAAGATGGGCAGAGACTGGGGAGGCTTTGCTGACACTGACTGATACCATCTAGAACCACGGGAACACAGGTAGGAATGAGGTTTGAAAGCACTCAAGGAACTGATGATTTTGAGGCAGCCTCCAGTCAGCAGAGTGATAAATTGTAACCTTGGGGTTGGTGCCTGGTGTTGAATGTAGTCTCCTTATAAAGACACAACTGAAAGGCTTTCCTAAAAGCCTGAGAAATATTCAATAATAATAGTCATCTAGGGTGGACAAAGCAAAGTTTGTGGACATGAGGACTTGTGCTGACTTGAAACATTACTCCTACCTAAAGTTATAAACTCATTTTAGTCTAGAGAGCATTTTAAGACTCTACTACCTGACCTCGTTGTGATCTTTCGATTGTTCTGATGGATCCAAGCAACAATGTCATAACAGAAGTGCAAACTTTTTTGAACTTCTGTTCAAACAAGACATCAAAAAGAAACCCAAGCCTTTAATTAATTCAAAGCTTGCACATATAGGAGCATCATGTCACCCAGGAGCTCTTGTACGCAAGGGAATATGGTTGCCGATGGAAGCGTTGCGTAGTAACTGGGTGATATGCAAATAAGGCGGATGCTTTTGAGGACCTCAGTGGCCACGGAAGGGAGACCAACAAAAGAGGGAGGGAGGAGAGGAGCCAGCCGCACATCTGGAGACCACACTGGAGTCACCACGAGAATCCCTCAACAAAGCAACAAGAGAAACAACTGCTAAGTAACCACTTTACCCAAATTATGCCACACGTGTCTTACACAAACCCCATCCGGTAGGCACCCACGTCAATGCCCATTTTACAGAGACAGCAACTGAAGGCTACCAAGGTTAAACATGTCCAGAGGCACATTTTCTCCTCTCCTATCTTCCTCACTCTCAGGCTTTACAGCCATAAAGAGCTTATGTTTTATCGCATTTGCCTTGCAAATAAATGCCAACAACGAAAAATGCTGGAAATAAAAACACCCACAAATCACAGCTCATCTTCTCCCTGAGGAGGTAGACAGAATGAAAATAAATGAAGCCATCATTCTTTATTGTAAGCTGGCATGAATCTTGACTCAGTTTGGAAGATTAGTTGCTGGCTAGACAATTCTTATTTTTATATATTTTTATGCATTTATAAGGCTCATTTCAGCTGGGCTATATGCCATAAAACCCAAGGGAATTGCAGTAATTTAAAAGTGAAGATAAATTTTTGAAATAGGACTAGTAGAGAGGTTCAGAAAATGGGAAAAAGGAGAAATAAAACTGGATTCAACAAGAATGGAGAGGCCGTCCACAAAGGAAAGTCTACAGGCAACTATTTCAGGGTGAAGAAGAAAGAGGGATTCTTCAGATGATGAGTACAACTGGCTGCCATGGCCGGATTCCATCTAAAGATGTGTCTATTTGCCCCGTATAATGGTTTGCAAGTGTCTGGCCCAACACTTGAAAACTGTGGGTCTCCGTATAAAACCAAGCTTTCTGGCTTCTCTTGAGAAAGTCACTCATCCTAACCCCCCATTTCCACTGGGGATTAGTTGGCGGGAACACGCTGGAGTCTCTTCCCTCTAGATAGCCTGTGAATTCTTAAATTTTCCGCCTGCACCATTCCCCTTTTCCCTTGCTCTCCATTCTCTTCACTTATGTACATGATCTGCCAGGCCCTGTAGGCCTTAGGGCTCAGAGCTGCCATCCACACACCCAGACCCCTCTCATGTGCTCAAGACAAAGACTGAACCAGTGGCTGACCAAACCCTAGCCAGTTACTGTCACTTTGGGTAACTCAATGAAACCAAGGCCCAAGCACCGGCCCCCTGGTAAGACCTCTCTCCTTCTGAAAGCCTTAAGTACAGCAGCTTTACAACACAAGCCCCCTGCGTTTGAGCCTCCTCTCCTCACATAGTGGGATCTCCTTCTCTCCCATCGGGGCTCCTTGGGCTTTCTGACTGCTTGAACAACAGAACATGGCGGAAATGATGTGTCATTTTCCAGGCCCCGCCTTAAGAGACCAGCTACGTCCACTGTTTGCCTGTTGGGACACTTGCTTTAGAGCCGAGCTGCCATGATACGAAGAAGCCCAAGCCACCTGGTGGAGAATCCTACACATGGCCATTTGGGAAGGGCTCCTCCAGACCTAAGTGGGCCTGCCCAGCTGACACCACTGGAACAGAGATGGGCTGCCCCACCAAGCCCTGACTACATTTCAGATTTGTACACAAAATGAGCGATGGTCGCTGTTGCAAACCAATAAGCTCTGGGGTGGTTCATTACACAGCAACCTACAAACGGAGCATTGAGTCCAAACACCAGGATGGGCTTTCATAGCAGACGAGAGCGAATCAGGAAGACAAGTCTCCTAAACAGTGGTCCGCGCATTTCTTTTCTCACCTGGCCGATGTGCCTTTGGAACCGCCATGTTCATCACTCGACCTCCATCCTGAGGTTTGGGGGGGGATGCAGTGAACCTGCAGATCCCCGATTCTGAAGGGGTGCTGGAGGTCAGACTGTCCGTGTACTCGTTTGTCCCTGCCGTCAACTGTTCAGATGATGTGTCTGATATGAAGCACTCTGTGATGGTGAACTTGGCGTGCCTCAGTTGCTCTTCCATCTTGGCGTGCTCGTAGGCCCTGGCCAGTTCTTCATAAGTGGAGGAGGCACTTTCTGTGGAGACCATGCTGCTTCGCGCTCGATCTATAGCATACAAAGAGAGAACGAGACGGATAAATTATTGCTTTACGGTTGCACCGACTGGATGGCCTTCTCTGGCTTGTGGCTGTTTCTCCCAGATCATGGTACACGCCGGCAGGGTCCTGGGTCATTGACCGAGAACTGCCTCGGTCACTGTGGGGCCTGTGTTTTACGTCTCAGTAAAGTGGGCTCAGGAAGCTTTGTTTCAGCTCAATCGCCTTAGTCAGATGCTCCCAGCCTGGGACACGCCTGTCAATCAGCAATGCTTAAAAAATTCTGCGTTTAGTTAAGATGATTGGGAGTGTCGTGTAAATGAATGGCCGTGTCCACCCCCTGCTCTGACTTGCGGATCACTCTGTTCCGCAGGGACTTTAATTGACACGAATGATTTGAGCTCTGCAGTTCAGCTTGCGAGGAAGACACGGCAGTGGTGAGAAACGAAGCCGTGATTCTGCACGAAACTGGCCAGTGGGAAGAATGGCCCCTGATCCCTTGGACTCATCCTTTGTGACTGCCACCCTTTGTGGGGCCCAGGAAACCCCCAGGACAAAAGGAGGCGCATCTTGGCCAGAGGAATCTGTATTTTACACACGAAAAAGTTTTGAATCACCTCTGTGCAACTCTGAGACTCTTCTAAGAGAAATAACAGCCATAAAAATAAATGCACAGGGTAACACTCCACCTTTGGAACATTATTTTTGAAGTATATCGGCCAGAACAAAAGAAAATGAGTCTTCAAATTTCCTACAGCTATTAGGTTTAGATATAATTTCTTTTCTAGAGTTAAGGTTGGGGGCTGGGGCAACCGAGTGCTATTCTTAGGTCCTGTCTTCTCTCAGAAGTGAAATCTTGGTGGTTGATGGCACAGACTGGATGACTTACCTTATAATCAACCCCTGTTGAATTGTCAAAAGGATCAGCCCATGTTCTCTATAGAGGGTGCCATGACCTTGCCATGACACCTCCAGTGCAACGTCTTAAACCAAGAGACGGTAGCGGGTCATGTGCCCTCAGAGTATATTCAGAAACTACTGCAACAGTTTGGGTGAGGATTTTAAAGTATCTGTGTTTCTCTCAGTGGGGTAGGAACTAAAAGGAGAGGACAGCATGAGTCTGAGATTCAGGACATCTGAGATGCCCGTTGGTTTTGCCCTGCAGAAATCACCAGGCCCTGGATATCATCAGTGCTGCATGGATGTATTAATACTGGTTAAAAAACAGCCTAACAATTTGAAAGTGGCCTTGAAAGAGCATAAGGAGGAGCCTGTGAAGGCTATCTGAGGGCTGTGCCCATCCCCAGGGTTGAGGAGGAGGCGTGCAGACCCCTACCTGTGTCTTGTGAGGGGCTGACACTGTAACTGTCACTCTCCTTGTCCATTGATCCCGCAGCCCTGGGCGTCGGCAGCCTCCAGTCTGTGGTGAGGGTGTGTGCTGAAATGGTGGGGTGGGGTCTGTTGAGGGTCCACTGGCTGGCATACCGGTTTCTTGCTGTGGGTCCTGCCTTGGCATTCCTCCTGGTGGTAGGATCTGTGAAGAGGCCAAGAATAATGTATGTCTTAGTCTCTAGGAGTATGATCAGTTGTGATCAAAGTGTTGAGGGTGGTCTTCCCCTGCCCCCCCCCCCCCCGCCCCCCCCCCGCCAGCCTTAAGACGCCCTTGTAAGACTCATGCATCCTGGAAACCTTTCCTTCTGTTTTTGTCTAGAGGATTCATTTCTTTTCTCTTGTGGTCTGAGACATTTATGTGATGCTTAAGCACTCTAAAAAGTCCTGTGGGGTAAAGAATGAGGACGTTGGTGGACTAGAGGAATTATGGATTCAAACCTTTCTCTTGGCCCTTAATGTTTTCATTTCAGACATCACTTAAACTTCCAGAGAATAGCCACCATCTCGGCTGCATCCAAATATATCTAACGTTGAGTTTTTACTATGTTCCTACCTTAAGGTGTTGTTATGGGTTGACTCATGTCCCCTCAAAAGGTATGTCCGCATCCTAACCCCTAGTTAAACCTCAGAATGTGACTTACTTGGAAATAAGGTCACTTCAGATGATCATTATCAAGATAAAGTCAGACTGTACCTGGTACCTTTAATCTTTTTTTTTTTTTTTTTAATTTTTATTTTTTATTTTTATTTTTAAAAAAAAAATTTTTCAACATTGCTTATTTATTTTAGACAGAGAGGAAAGGCATAAGATGGCTGAGGGGCAGGGGAGAGGAGAGGGAGACACAGAATCAGAGAACAGGCTCCAGGCTCCGAGCCATCAGCCCAGAGCCCGACGCGGGGCTCGAACCCACGGACCATGAGATCGTGACCTGGTTGAAGTCGGACGCTTAACCGACTGCGCCACCCAGGCGCCTCGGTAGTCCTTTAATCTAACAGGACTAGTGTCCTTATAAGAACAGGAGAGGAGAATGCCACGGAACAATGGAAGTAGAGATTGAGGTGCTGGGGCTACAAGCCAAGGAATGCCAAAGACTGTCAGCAGCAACTACCAGAAACTAGGAAGAGGCAAGGAAGGATCTTTCTTGACAGGTTTCAGAAGGAGCATGTTGACATCTTGAATTTGGACTTCTGGCTCCCAGAAGACAATAGATTTCTGTTCTTTTAAGCCACCCAGTTTGTGGTATGTTGTTACAGCAGCTCCAGGCATCTCCTGTGTTATTGTGGTTTTCTATTTACTCATTGCCTTGATCAGGGCTGTTTTACTCATCAACTAAATTTCAAGTTCCTAGACCAAGATGGTGATACCCTCTTGTCCTAATACTCACTTAGTCTTTTGCATATGGTAACATATGTCTTCAATGGAATTGAACTTTGTCAAAGACGTGGGTCATTCAATGTGGAGAACACATGGTTAATGGGTATCTGGATTTCATATGTCTGCCTTCCTCAAAACCAGAGATTTACATATACGGAGGCTGGCACCAGATTGGTTTCATTTTCTCTAAATCTGGAACCAAAGACAGCAGGTCAATGAGTGGACAGAGTTCTTAGTTCAGCTCTTTGGGGGGACACTGGAGTGGACAAGCAACACTGTCTTTTCTAGAACCCTGTGGAATAGGGAATAGAGAGGCTCAGTTACCTTTTCTTGGGCTCTGGCCTATAGGCAACATAAGGTCCTAGATGGGCCTTTTACACAACTGAATTCTCTGCTTCTAAAAAAGGAATTTTATGCAGTTATATTTCAAAATGTCCTGGAGACTTCTAAACACAAGTCTATATTTACTGCTCAACCCTAATGAGGCAGTGTCAGAAGATCAACGCTGAGGGGGCCATTCCTTGGCATTGTTACAGTGACTTACTTATGTGTTTTCATGGGCCTGGAAGTTTCTCCAGGGTAGGGGTAAGGATGTTCATCCTTGGGTCCATTCACAGAGCCCATGATGATCTCCAGTACACATAGGCCCCTGGATGGATACACTCAGCCCAGGGTCACTTTATGGATGAGACAATGGAAGCTCAGAGAGGAAAAGTGACACAGCTATTAAGTGGTAAAAAATGGAGCCCAAGACTCCATGTTTTGGTTCAGAGATTGCCCATCACTTGACCACACATGTCCTCATGCTGGACATCTAAGTGTCTAATACAGTGTCTGCCATGACACTGGCTTGTGTGTAATGCCATGTTGGATCATGGGAGGCAGACAATTGAATGTAGTGAAATGACTTTCTTTTTAAACGGAAGATTTTCTTCTTGTTGGAAAATTATAGTTATTGGGTTTTGAACCTAATCCATCATTCTACAATGCTGGACAGAAGCATTAAGATGGCAGCCAAATCGATATATTTTAAGATTTCCTGGGTCATCAAAATGCTTCGTCTTGGTGCATATTCTTTGGGGCATTGATTTTAAGACACATTTCATCACTTACTTGCAAAATTCCACAGAAGACTTTATTGGAAGGTATTTTTTTTGCCTTGATTAGAATGTAAATGTGTTATGCTCGAGCACCAAGCTCTCTGGACAGCAAGGTATGAATGATAATTGCATTTTCTCCACTGAAATGCTAGGAGAGAGGTCCTCAAAGAGACAGAAAAACATTCTCACGGGTAGGAGGCTAAATATCTTCCAGGTACTATGGACTTCATAAGTAGAGCTTCGATAAATGGGGCTTGTTATTTAAATGCTAATGAATCTTTTCCAGAAAATTACCCAGTCCCTTACATAAGATTTGAGGATTCACATTCTTATTCCTCTTTCAGTTTCTTGCAAAGACAGCCGTGGATCAGATTTACTCCTGGCATGGATGCTTGGGCGGGGGCGGGGATGTCAGTTTGATCTTCTCACTTCAAGGACGAAATCTCCTCACTCCCATCCCTCTCCCCTTGCCGTGTTTCCTCCCACCAAGCCTGCCCACCCATAGTGGGGCAGGACCTTACCCCTTTCTCACTGAGATCTCCCTATGTGGAAAATTCCATGGTCAAGTTATGCATGTCAGTCTCTATTCAAAGCTAGAACTCTTTTTAAGTTAATTTTGTTCATTATCCTTTTTTTTTTTTTCTTCTAGATGAGGACAGTTTTACCAATGGCCTGATAATGTTGGAAATATAGGTCATGGTATTACTTTCCTTGAACCACAGCTTGCAGTTCTGTCCTGCTCTAAGCAAGCCTCCTAGAGGCAAAATGATCTCAGTTGGTAGAATATTGAGGTAGTTGACACATTTTTTAAAAATAATCAGGTTTTGGGAGCTGTTTTGTACCTCAATTGAACTCTTCTGTATGATAACTCCTATGATAGCAGCTAAAATAAAAATCTGACTTGGATTCCACTTGCTAACCTTCTTTGTAGGTCTTACCAGCTAAGCTACTAAGGAAATACACATTGAGATTTACTGTCCTTGCATGGAAAGCATTTTATTTGGCTCCCCAACATTCTAATAGAAATAAAACTTAGTGATGAGCCATCATGCTTGCTAAACAGCTAACAAATTAGAAGGTAAGTGATACAAATAACTCTTGGCTTTTGAACATTGGGTCTAAACCTAAATTAAGCTTTTCTGCCCATTGAATCAAATTATTTTAATCATCCTGAATTCAGGATAAGAGAGGATTTGGGGGATAATAGGGTTATAAAACATGTCATGTGTACTGTGATCTAGGTATTAATCTGTTTTTATTCCTTGCTATTCCCAGTCCTATCTTGTAGGTGCTGTGGGCTCAGCTTCACATGGTGATGACGCTGTGGAGGCCTGAACATTCCCATTGCGTAACGAACAAGTATTTATCAAGGGCTCATTACACATGGCACACTCCTCAACCCCATCAGGTATTTTCCTGCAGGACGATGTCTAGTACCATTCCGGGTGATGGCTGGAGTGTGCATGTGCTTTCAAAGTCTAAACAAAAAAAGATTCCATCCATGTTGTAAACTCTTCTTATGTAGATATGGAAGTCTACTCAGTCCGTAGATATCCCCTGGGAATCATGGTCTCCACTCAACAGCAACACGGAGCAGTTGAGGAGGAGCTTTGGAGTTAGGTTGTCTGCCTTTGACTCAGTTTTACTACTCGCTGGCTGTGAGCTCATCAGGCATGCCCACTTCCCTCATCTCTAAGAGTGGGGTTATCATCTCACCCGCCCACAGGGCTGTTGTGAGACATGGTGGTGATGGGGCCTTGTAGATCTTGGGGCCTGGCCCACGATTCCTGAGTGCCAAACACTTGGTAAGGATTGGAACACATTCTGTTTGTTGGGAAGAGGGTGGAGGGACATTTGGTAGGCTGATCAGGAAGGCTTGAAACTCAATTTAGAGAAGGTTTGGCAGGAAAAAAAAATACCCATTAAACATCATAAAGCCAGATGCTGGAGAGTTCCCCATGCTTCAGAAAAGAGCTGAAAAGTAGAGCTGGTGAGGACAGGAGCTCCCACTCATTCCTGGTCTAGCCCTTTCATGCACCAAGGGCGCTTGTACATGCTCTCGGCCCAGATGGGTGGATGGTGAACCAAGGGATGACTTCCAGGTTAATATGACCCAAAAACCTGGACCAAGTCGGACACATATCATTTCACGTGTCTTTGTATCCTTGCACATCTTTTGAGTAAGAAAGTTAATTTAAGTTCTCCTGTGATGATCTCATTGGTAAGTCTCCACAAAGTGAGCTGGAGAGAGACTGTGTACATACTTACAAACATCTGATCATCTAGCAAACAGACACTTAGCCGGTTAGATGTCTCAGGACATCTTAGGAAATGGATCTCCTCAGGATCTCCAGGAAATGGAGAACAAAGAAAGGGGCCAAATGGACTTCCCGAGTCCTGTTTATTTAAAATGCTGAACATCCTTTCTTTTCCACCCCTTCTACTCAGATTTCAGAACTTGGCAGTTGGTTGATATTTAAATCTACTTATTGAGTGCCTACCATGTGTCAGACCCTGTGGCTGGAGTTGGGGGGGGTTGCGGACACAGACACGGACACCATCAGACCCCCACTTTCAAGTGTACCCTCATCCACAGGAGCGACAGGGACGCGAACAGAGCTGCAGATACAGCCAGGGCATCTGTTTTCACCGGCTGGAGAGCTCAACAGTCAATTGCTGTGATTTCTCCTATCCTCATAACGAATCTTTGTTGCAACTCTGGAAAACTAAACAAAATGCCTAGAAACACAACTTCTATCATGCAGCCATTATAATGTGCAGACAACGTATTGTAGATGCTCTACTTATAACTAAAGAATTCCCACAATGGTGACACAGTCCTAGCATAATTAGAACAGAGTAATAGTGTCTTTTGCAGTCGAGGAAATAGATCATAAATCAGCCTCTGCAAATGTGCCAAACTGCAGTGTGCAGAGACTGCCGCACGGGATCTGAGATGACACAGGTGAACCACCGGGCACAGGTGACAAGCTCTGGGGTGCAGGACACAAGCAGTAAACCGGGCTTCACAGAGCTCCCAGCTTCAGACTTCTGCTGGGGCTCATCTGCTGGGGGGCCAGTCACCCACTGTTTCCACTTCGAAATGGGAAATGGGAGGCTCTTAGGGCCTCGTAATGTGGTTCCAGAGGGAACATTTAATGAAAAAAATGATCCCTAGTAGAGGATGTGGTGCAGATGCTAAATGAATAGTTCTGTGTTTTTCTTTTGAACTAGAGACTGATGCATGACGTTGAGTAGATTTGCTTAATGTTTGTAAACATTACTGGATGAAGCTCGTCACAAACGAAAGAAGCATCGTTCTGCAAGCTGTGGATGCTTCAGTGTGATGTGATCATCAGACTGAACTCTGCCAACTCATCCCAACACTTGCAGAGTGGAGTGCAAGCTCATGAGGCTGGACCAGGAGGCCTGGCGACCAGGCTGCCTCTTTCCTCTGGCTCCTCCCCGTTGCCCATGGCATTCCAGTGATGCTGCTGCCCCAACATGCCTTAGGAGCCATTGCCTCTTGTTTCCCCTGCCTGGCAGGCCAGCTCCCGGCCTGGACTCAGATTTTCAACTCCTTGACGGATCTTCCCAGAGTTGGATCTGAAGTAGCCCCTCCCATCATCCCCACACGGCCCCCCCTCCCCCCACTCACCATCATGTCCTAGTCCTAGTCCTTATAGGTAAATGAAAAATGCTTGAGTTCCCTGGTTAATGTCCAATTCCTCTACTGAGATGAAATGAATGCCTTTTTGCATCTTATGACGTACCCCCATCACTGGGCCATATGGAAAGTAAAACCTTAATAAATATTTTTGAGTCTGAATGCAGGAATCCTTAAAGTTCCCCAACTATGCTTACAGCATTATAGGTATGAGACACTCGGACACTCCCCTTCCATGTGCCTCTGGCCCTGCCACTTGCCTCTTGCTGGTTATCGCTTCTGCTTATGACCAAAATTCACACCTCTGTTGATATTTTGAATGTCACTGAATCAATGTTTCCATTAGTTGGGGAGGTGGTGGTGGTGATCATGCAGTTGGGATGTTCCCAGTGCTTTAGTATGACTGTTTCCTTCCTGTTATGACTGGCCTTTGTGCATTCCTCTGCTGGTTGAACACTGAAAGGAAGGTGGGGAAGCTCGCTTATTTTACCTGGCAGAAAGAAGTCACGGGCTATGAGAGTGGCAAGCTTGAGAGGCCCTGTCCCCCGTGCTAAGGGGCAGGGACCCATGTCTAACACTTGGGGAAGTATTTTTCTGTGAGGGCTCCAGACAATCAGCATCAGAATGACCCAGAATGTCTGTTACAATGCAGATTCCTGGGCCCCACCCTAGACCAAGTGGATCAGAATCTTTGGAGATGGAGTTCTGGAATGGGTATTTTGAGCAGGCCCCTGGGTGATTCTGATGCACACGGAAGGTTGGGAACCGCTATCTGGGCATCTGTCATGTTTTCTCTGCCTCTTGCTATTTTCCTGCCAATGTCTCCATTAGCTTCCACGCTGACTGGGCTGAGGGAATTCTGAGGTCAAGGATCCTTCCATTTCAGCCCCCCTGGGTCTGTAATTCTTCCCTCACTGAATAGCAATAAGTGTCTCAGAAATCCATCAGTGCCGTGTCCTGAAGCATCCAGAAGCTGGACCAGGCAGATCATGATGGGAAAGCCAATAGCCGGAGAGAGGGTCAAGGACTATGAAGCACTTTCTAAAGCAAAGCTCTCACTCACACACCCCCAAGCAAAGTTAATTCCCACTCATGGCCCATTCATGTCTTCAGCGTGTGCTGATGTCATCAAGGAAGGAAGGGGTGAGGCTAGACGAAAGGGGGAAACAGAAGATTTCTTCAGCCTGTTCTTAAGGACAGTTTTTGAAATGAATTTCAGTAACAGCTGAAACTGTTTTCTTGCATATTACAAAGTTATTTAGGAATCACCTGGTTTGCTTCATGACATCAGTACATTTCACAAATGCTTTACAAGTCAGAATGTATGAATCACAGCTTTTAACATTACATTATTTATTTTCCTAATTATAACACTCCGAGAATGTAAATTTTTGCAGAGTGATTAGAGATTAAAAGTTAGACATCAAAGCTTCCGAAAGATAATAATCGGGACATCAATTTCTCAGTCTCTTAAAGAGATTTAGAAACAATTTCAATTATGAAGGAATAAGAATGTCTAATTAATAAGCTCTAGATACATATTAGGGTATTTAATTTCATTGCAGTAATTAATTCCTGTGTATTATGAATGCAGATATTAATAACTAAGTCAAATATAATCCCCGGATTTGCCAGAACTACAGTTTTTCTCAAATAGTGTGTTCAGGAGAAAACATAAACTCCAGGGATGGACGGATCCGCAGTGAAACCCTGGCTTCCCTACACATTGTGTGTACAATGTCAGGCTGTTTACCTAACTGCTCTGAGAGTCCATGTTCTTATCTGTAACACAGCGGCTATCGTATCTATTCATATCTATTCTAACTAGGCACCTTGCAGGGCTGCCTTACAGATAACACACTTGCCATAACCTGCTTATCCTAATCCTGGCGCAGAGTGGATACTCACTGATGTTAATTACTTTTCCCCGTTCCCGTGTCGTCCAAATAAAAAAAAAAAAATTACCTTGACCTGAAATTTCTGGCACTTTGATAGTGAATCGACACCAAGGGTTATTGGCCTCCAGTGACATAGTTTGAACGCCAGCTTAGATCAAACAGTAAAAACTCCCATGTCCCAATTAGAGATATTATCGTACGTATTTGTTTCGTAGGCACAGGGCCAACAAGCCCTGCTTTCGTTGGACAGGGACAGAGCGTCAGCATCTTCTCAGCATCGGTACCGCCCACACAGTTTGTATTGTCGGACCACTTACTCGTTCCTGGCCGCGCGTCCGACACATCCACGAGGGGCCCGGTGGCCTGTGACACTGACTGATAGTGCACTGTGTGTGTCACCGTCAGAGACTTCTGTTTGGCCGCCTCCCCAAAGTCAGCATCCGTTAACAGGACCGTGGAGCGATCGTCTGCAGAACAGCAGGAACACAGGAAACCAGACATGTTTACCCCTTTAAACGGCTCCCTTGTCTTCTCTCCTCTAGCTCCTTGTGTGATTGTTCATGGCAACAATTATCACCTCATCTAAAGGAGCAGAAACAACCCCCAAATTCAAGCACTGTATTGGAATCACTGTCGAATGCTAAATATAGATTATCTTTAGGAGCTGGCTTTCGAAGCATGAATGAAAGAGGGTGACCACAGAGAAGGGTCTTCTTACCAAACAAACACTCATTTGGGGAGGCCTGTCGGAGCCACCTGTTTGACAGAGTTTGGGATTTATGTGTTTGCCAAAAGCTCACCTGAGATGTCACCAGAGATGGTGGCACCACCAGTGATGAGGTTGCCATCAAAAACAAGCCCTGTTTTCAGTACTGGAAAAACACTGCTGAGGCTGTCTACACTCGGGTGGCTCTCACGCCGAACCTGGCCAGTGTTTGGGGTTGGGGTGAGGGGAGGGGAAGACAAGGGCTGGTCTTCAGAGTTTATGGATTCCTCTGTTTTAAAGGTTCTGAGCTACGTTCCTTTTCTTCCCACCTCTTCTGAGCTTTAATTACCCTAGAATATCCTTTAATTGACTTTTCAGAATGACTCACTTGTCAGATTTCCAAGCCCAATTGGCATTTGAAGGTTAGACAAGGAGGAGCCCGGGTTCAGATGAGTCTGGGGCATTCTAGGGCTTGGGAAGGAAGCAGTTGGTTGAGCTGCGTGTCATTATTCGGTGGCCTCAACATTTTTCATTACTTTGTTGTGATACTTTTCACGCTTTCTTAAGGGCTTTTTTACTCCAAGGGAAACTTCCCTTAGGATATATGGATATATTCATACATTTTCAAGCACCGCAGCCCGGGATGCTGTTCATATGAGTTTATCAGTCAGCTGGGACCACGCCAGAGCGTGCCTTGACACGGAGCGGTGACGTGGAAGTCATAAACAACACAGCTAGACTTCTGTGCCCAAAAAAGGCTCTGAACAGAATGAACCTTGCAAAATCCAATTACTCAGGCTCTGGCAGGAGAGGAAAGCCTCTTGAAGTTAGAATAAAATTTCTTGGCAGGGAAATAGAGGAAACCTTGCCAGGATGTCTGCTGGCATCACAGCGTGTGATACAGCATGGGTTGGTCCTGCGGCAGGAGCCTGGGCTCGGCGTGGGGGTCGTGCCACAGACTTCATCCGGCCCTCAACTGAGGTGGCCTTTCTACAGAAATAGGTTCCTACAATTGGACCCGGCATCAGAAGCCTGGGAGCTACACTCATTTTTCGTTAATAACACTGACATGTTATGGTCTCTAACATGGAGCCCTGTTAAGAGCCCTGCAGGTTATCTGCGGGGATAAGTTACAAACTTCTAATGGGAAATTTCAGGTGCCTGTCAGTTTGTGAGGTTAACCATTCATTCTGGCTAGAAATTAATGGCACTTTTGTATTGGATGCTGGTAGTCAGACCCCGGCGTGTTTTAAAGCATCGCATTTCTACTTCCCAATAATTAGCAAGTGCCATCCACCAACTGTCAGGCATCACCAGGAGATAAATGACTCTCGGCGACAGATGATCCCATGAAGACTATGACACATCGCTGGCTAAAGGTTGGTAGTACAGCTTTCCAGTAGCCATGGAAACAGACCCAGAGGCAGGTTGCCCAGTCTGCCCCTTTGCAAACTTTGCTCTGTTTGCAAATGGTGGGCAGACCCTTCTCTGGTGTTAGGCCAGTAACGACTACCTATCTATTTTAACCACCATGGGTACAATGATTGACAAGTCTGATGAGGAACATTTACCAAATGTTGTAAGTATATTATAAGGTCAAAGGAAGTACATTTTGATTTTTGAACTCACGTTTCAAAGGAAATTTTGGTTTCGATGCCCAACCTATTGAGTTCAATAAAAGAGATTTCAGCTCTACTACTGAAAAGTAAAGATTATCAAAAACAAGGCAGGGTGCTTTGTCCTGATGTGAGCTAGCTAATAAAATCTCGGGTATTTTAGGATGAGTAGTGGTTCCTCATACAACATGGGTGGTATTTAACTGAATTTGGTTGATCGAGGGCCACACTGGGCTTGACCAACCTTCCCCAAGTGCTATGATGCCTGGACCAAACTTAAATCCAACAAGAGCATCCCAGGCCTTAGAATTTAGGAGCCTGTAAGTCTATTAGAACATAATCAAGCAGGGAGGGGGTAAGGAATAGCATAGATGTTCTGCCCATCTGGCCATTTACCACTGGTTTTCTGGCAGGAGCTTCCTAGAATAGGTTCCAGGAGTTGGGTAGTCTTAGCCAAACCACAGGATAGAGTTGCCTGGGACCAAGTGCCAGTGAACACGGTCCAGAACAAACAGAGCGAAGTTTGCAAAGGGGCAGACTGGGTGACCTGCCTCTGGGTCTGTTTCCATGGCTACTGGAAAGCTGAGTGATACTTTAAAGGTGAGGGGTTCTGGGAAGTAGCTTGTTGATATGGAAGTAGGTGGTGACAGTTACAGGAGGCTAAGCTGGTGGCTGGGCACGGGTTCTACTCCTGTCTATGTGACCTGGAAGCTATAGAAACTCTCGATGCCCCAGTTATAAAGGAGTGCCTTTCTCCTATGTTGATTGAGGGTTAAATGAGATTCCATCCATAAAGTGCTTTTACAAGCATGTGACATTAGAGAGGCCTCAGTAGATGTTAGCTATTCTTTTGATCATCCTTGCAGTGGAAATACAAAGTCTCTGATTCTGGAGTAAATAGCACTGTGTTGGAAGGCAGTGTGGGATGGCAGACTTCGAATGGAAAGGGCTGGAAGAAGTCAAGACAGCAGGGTTCTGAGAAAACCAGCCACAAAACTCTCCAGGTGTCTGTTTTGCGATTGTGAAACGGGGACCTGGGAATTTCCCAAAGCACTGTGAAGGAACCCATTCCAGGGTGTCTACGGGGTGCTGAGGGATAGAGAAAAGACAGTCTGTACAAAGACCATTGTGTGTTAAGTGCTAAGTAGAGTTTGGACATTTTCTTTAATGGAGGCCTTACTGGAGCAGGAGGTGGCACTGAGTGGATTTCCAAGATGGGGCTTTCGTGCATGGCCCTTCTAGGTTTATTTGTTTGCAGGTGTTTGTTCTTTGGAGAGGCACCAATAGTCTCCCCAAGAAAGATCCAACACGGATCAAAGTTGGGGAACTCCTGGGGCGCCTGGGTGGCGCAGTCGGTTAAGCGTCCGACTTCAGCCAGGTCACGATCTCGCGGTCCGTGAGTTCGAGCCCCGCGTCAGGCTCTGGGCTGATGGCTTGGAGCCTGGAGCCTGTTTCCGATTCTGTGTCTCCCTCTCTCTCTGCCCATCCCCCGTTCATGCTCTGTCTCTCTCTGTCCCCAAAATAAAATAAACGTTGAAAAAAAAAAAAAAGTTGGGGAACTCCTGTTTTAGGTGACCTCTGAGGTATGTGTAAGTTCCTTTCTCCCAACCCCTATTTGCTGGTATTTATTATTCTCCTCAGTAACAATGAACTGTCTTCTAACTTTGCTCACGTGGCCCTTAAGACATTCCCGTAACTTACAGGATTTTGGCTGAGAGGGCATGGCCATAGAAGCCACACTGTGTGAAACCACAGACAGGGCACCTTACCGATGGTCTCCATTGTGTCTCTCTCTTCGATCAAAAGCTGAGCCCTGGGTATGTCAATGTGCATCCTCAAGGTTTGTTGTTGCTTGCTCAAGGTGTCCGAAGTCCGGGTATTCTTACTGGGAATACAAGACAGAGGGTGCCTTAACAAACAGAGTTACATGATGCCAACCTGTGCTTGTACATCAACTGAAAAAAGCCAGGAAGGACAAGGGGAAAAGGAGAAAGAAAAAAAAAAAGATTTCTTCCTTCATTCAAATAATATTTATTAAGTTTCAGCAATTGGTTGTGAGGTTCAGAAAGTGAAAATTGTCAATAGGCATTGGTTCCATATTGATGGAACCTTCAGAATTTCCCCTCTCTCATGTAAAGCTAAGTAAAACAAAAAAAAAATGATTTTTAAACCAGCAGCATTTTTATTTGTCACACATGAGATATTCCAGTGATGGCAACAGAGGAAGCATTTGTGCTCGCTGCTCATTGGGTAGGGGATCTACTAATGGATTTGTATTTATATATGGTGTCGTTTTATTTTTGTTCCAGTAACAAATCATAAACCTTGTTAGCTTCCCTGGCACTAGTTTATCCTAACTGATATCACGTTTTAAAATTAAAAAAAAAAAAAACCCAAACTACTGTAAGAATTTGTGTACCAGAAAATTACTCTTAGAGCAAGCTGTCTTCTAGAAGTAAATGTAAAAAGGTACTAAAATGGCATGGTATAATCAAATTCAGTTACAGCCTACAATAAAAAAAAATAAAAAACAAAAAACACTGCATGTTTCACAAAAACGCAAAAAAGTCAATAAAGGCTTTAATTAGAAATCTAGGGGTGCCTGGGTGCCTTAGTTGGTCAAGCATCTGACTTTGGCTCAGGTCATGATCTCGTGGTCCGTGAGTTCGAACCCTGCGTTGGACTCTGTGCTGACAGCTCAGAGCCTGGAGTCGGCCTCGGATTCTGTGTCTCCCTCTCTCTCTGCCCCTTCCCTGATCACGCTGTCTCTCTCTGTCTCTCAAAAATAAATAAACATTAAAAAAAGGAGAAATCTACATGCTAGGAGTGATTGTTCAGTTTCTACAGAATTGTAAGAATTGAGAAGATTTTAAAATAGTGCACAGTTGACCCTTGAACATCATGGGTTTGAACTGCATGGGTTCCCTTACGTGTGGATTTTTCTCAAGAAATACATTCCAGGACTGTAATATTTTCTCTTCCTTTCTATTTTCTTAATAACATTTTCTTTTCTCTGGTTTACTTTATCATAAGAATGCAGTATATCATACGTATAACATACAAAATATGTGTTAATTCATTGTTTATGTTATCGCTCAGGCTTTTGGTCAACAGTAGGCTATTAGTACTTAAGTTTTGGGGAAATCAAAAGTTCTATGTGGATTTTTGACTGTGTGTAGGGGGGCCAGTGCCCTTAACCCCTGCATTGTCCAGGGTCAACTGCATATTAGAACACCCTCTAAGGAGCAGCAGTCACTCAGAATAATTCATCATGATAAACTATGGCATCCATAAATCTAGTTCAATAATTGCCAAAATCTACTTTGAGAGGGATTTCTGGAGCCTACTTCACTTAATGCTTTACTTTTGTGTTAGTTGCTTTTAGTAAATTATAATAAAGGGGGCATCCATACTACATCTTAAATGCTTTTCTTCCCAACTAAGCATTCACCAGGAACCCCAGATCCTTTTTTTGTTGATGAGGACTCATCCACCCTTGAACCCTGTGGCTGAAGGAATATTAATACTCTGAAGGTCAAGTTCACCCAACACCCCCTGAAGACATCTGCATGTTGAAGTCTGTGTTAATATTCTGAATATTTTATAATGGCTCTTCCTTCATTTGAGTATAAACAAAACAACCTACAAAAACAACAGCTTCTGAAAGGTGCACCTTCCTTATTGAGGACTTGATCTTGAACCAGATTTCTTGCTCTGCAGATGAGTAAGTGGGTTATGTAGCTAGATCATGTTAATTACGCAGAGCCCAAATTCAAACGTGTGGCCTGAATTTTTCACATGGTCTATATACTTTTTAAAATTATTTACTTAACTACGTTTTCACTGTGTGTGTGTGTGTGTGTGTGTGTGTGCGTGCACGTGTGTGTGTGTGTTTTAAAGCAAAGATTCACATACTTAGTATAAGATGAAGAACATATTGGTGACTTGGGGGCTGTAGTTATGTCATGTTTAGATAAGCTCTATTTCCACAAAAACAGATGGGAAACTACTCCTCTGTGAGTATCCGGAAGGTCTGTTTAGAAACTCCACCAGGGACTTGAGCTTGTCCTTGCACCAGAAATAGAAACGTGAGCTAGTTCCTTCTGCTCATCATGAATAGTTATGAGGCAGCCAGCGGCTGTTCCATTAAACACTACGAATCGAAGCACAGACCCTACTTAACAATAAGGGGTCCACTGTCAGACTGTCACAGGAAGCTGGCTACGTGACTGCTGTGCACTACAGCAGTTGGCCCAAGGACTTAGAATATGGTTCAAGTTTATGAGCAAAGACAATCTAAGCTGGAGATAAACTTCCCCTCCGTCTTGAAGGAGCGCATGCTGTCAAGCCCTGCAGTGGGAAGGCAAGAGGATGGCCCAACAAGCCTTGAGATTCAGGAGCTAATTGTTTTTCTCTCCTTTTGCTGTTCCCTTCGCTTGGAGGAAACGTCCCCTACCCGGATCCCAATAGCTACCTGGCTGGCTCCCTCCCTTGCTTCAGGGCTTGATGATACAGGTGGCAGCCAGGTTTGCCCGGCTATGGGCTCTGCTGACACTTTCTGCCTCCCCATCCTTCGTTTAATTTTGTTTCCTCAACACTTACTACTGTCGAGCATCATTTAATTGACTTATTTGTGATCTGTCTCTCCCACTGGAATATGAGTTCCACAAGGGATATTTCCTTCTATTCTGTACCCTTTTAATCCCTGGGATTTAGGGCAGTATGTGGCAGAAGGAGGTGCTCAATAAATATTTGTTGACGCTTGTTGAATAAACCAGGTTGTTTTGGGGGTACAGTGGGACCGGAGTGATATGTCCCAGAGGCAGTAATATTCTTCTCATTCTACAGGTTTATTAGGTCTCACCTTAATACGACTGCCATATTTTATAGTCTATTGCTATAGGAAAGCTGATTCTCCAAAATTACAACAATTGGTCATGAAAACAGCAACAAACTTTCAAAAAAAAAGGCTACTAGAAGAAACCTCCTTTGTGACCTAGAGAAAAGATTATGAATGTTTTCATTGCGGAAACAAAACTGCACATTTTGTATGATGTGGGGTCATGCTAAATTTTTGTTAGTTATTATTGAAATATAATCTTCCACCATCCACTTGCTATCTAGTTGTCGGATTAAAATGACAGAGAGCTGACCCTGGTTCACAGAGGATGGTATTTCTGGCTTAGCCAATGAACTACTCATAGTTGTTACAACTCTTTAAAGTTAATATTTCCTTAAGATTTATGGCGAATAAAAAACAAATGAAGGAAGCTGCACATCACCCGCCTTCCCAAATATCATATGAAGCCTTCTTTAAGTTTAGAATAACTGTAGGGATCTCAGGGCCATACCTCATTATAATAGTTGAGTGGGTGATGATTGTTACTCTGTGCATAAAAATATGAACATTAAAAAAGCAACATTTATTTAAATTCTCAGTTTGAACCTTTCTCCACCCTCTTCCACTTACAGCTAGCTCTTAAAAATACTGGTCTTTAGGGGCGCCTGGGTGGCTCAGTCAGTTAAGCGTCCGACTTCGGCTCAGGTCATGATCTCGCGGTACGTGAGTTTGAGCCCCACGTCGGGCTCTGTGCTGACAGCTCAGAGCCTGGAGCCTGTTTCAGATTCTGTGTCTCCCTCTCTCTCTGACCCTCCCCCATTCATGCTCTGTCTCTCCCTGTCTCAAAAATAAATAAACGTTAAAAAAAATTAAAAATAAAATACTGGTCTTTGGATATTAGCCATGTATTGGCTAATGCCTTAGACTGGGCTAGTCTTATCTCTTAGAAGTCTGGTATTTTTCTTTAATTTTTTCTTTTTTTTGCCTAATCACAAAAAAGGAAACTTCTTTCTATCTGGCCAGGGTAGGTGAAGTCTCTCTTCTCTCTCTCTCTGTGGGGCGATTTGCTTGGGTGAAATAGATGAGTGTCCAGAAGCACGAAGCCCAGTGATGGGAGAGGACACCCTGTGGGAGACACCCCAGCACCAGCTTATAGGTGTCTGTCCTACAGTCACATATGCCTTTCTGGCCCTAGGACAGCTCATCCCACTAAAGTACACAGATACTTTTTTTTTTTTTTTTAATTTTTTTTTTTCAACGTTTATTTATTTTTGGGACAGAGAGAGACAGAGCATGAACGGGGGAGGGGCAGAGAGAGAGGGAGACACAGAGTCGGAAACAGGCTCCAGGCTCTGAGCCATCAGCCCAGAGCCTGACGCGGGGCTCGAACTCACGGACCGCGAGATCGTGACCTGGCTGAAGTCGGACGCTTAACCGACTGCGCCACCCAGGCGCCCCCACAGATACTTTTTTTGTGGAACATGGTCAGATAATACGGTACCTTCACCAAGATCACATAATGATGGAGCTGGGAGCGATTTCAAATTGTTATTTCTAGATGAGGAGAGTAGGGTAGATAACTTGCCCAAGATCACAAACCAGCCGGTGGTAACACGGGGCTACAGCGTAGGCTTGTGGTTCGTGTTCTTCTGCACCAGCCGGCTCAGTCCTCAACTTCCCACGCAAGCAGCGGTGAAGATCCAAGACAGGACCTCGGTAGCCTCCTCCGTACCAATGGCTAGGACTTGCCTGGATTTTCCAGACTACATTCTCAACATGGTTGGCCCTCAGATCTCCAGGTAGATGACAACACATTTGTTGCTTGGCCCCACTAACCTGCCAAACTCAGACTGAACTGATTAAAAGCGTTGCTTTTACTTCTAAATAAATCCCATAAAACCCTGCCTATTTGAGGAGCTTGGAAATTCTCTTCCTTTTCGATCACTGTACCCTTGTGAGGAAAACCCCCTCAACTACCTTCAGTGGGAGTAACTGGTAGTTTTGATGTTCCTAATTTCATGTTGGCAACTGTCAGCCTCCAATACCACTATTCATGCCTGCTTTCCTCAACAGGTGGTTTTTCAACCACCATGATTGGCCTATGAATGAAGAAGATGCTTTTTGATGTCTTGCTTGGAGCTAATAAGAAGGGGGAAGGATGCATTCTAGGACCTCAGAAAAGCTGATACCATCTCATTCCAACCAAACAAATGTTGAGCATGTCAGAAGTCACAGGTTCCAATGTCATGGGATTCAGACAGAGGCATGATCTCCGGTTGGAGAGTGGCTGAAGGAAGTGGACCAAAGCTCTCTGAGGGGGCTGTGGGACCCAGGCTGGGGTATAAACCAGTGAAGTAGACTGGGATGGGGAGGGGGATGGTGACCTGTTACACTGAGCAAAAGTCATGTCCAGTCTAAAGGGAGCACTTCATGTGGCTCCAGACAGCCATTATCTCTGAGCTATACCCAGTACGGCCAGAGCATTTTCAAGAGAAGTCAGAAAGCTACAATTTCATATGAAATCTTTTGATTTCCAAATGTCATCAATTAATCCATGTTTTTAAGTCTACATTGGAAATTTTACTTTATTTGGCGGATAAGTCATTATAAACCTTATGACTCTGGTTTTTTGTTTTCCAGATGTTTTGTCAGATTTGCTCTGCACAAGTGCATATGTGTCTGGATGCCTTCCATGTGACCACAAAAATGTCCCAGACTTGCTTAGCAAACAAGTACACACTTTCATTAGAGCATGAAATCATGGCATTTCATATAGGTTTTCATCATCTTTGTTGGCAAATGGCATCCATGTTTATTTACTTGCTCACACCAAATATTTCCGAGTAAGCCTGAGTCCTCCATATCTTTACCTACAATTCACATGGTTTTAAAACACAGTATGGACAGGGCGCCTGGGTGGCTCAGTCGGTTGAATGTCTGACTGTTGGTTTCAGCTCAGGTCATGATCCCAGGGTCGTGGGATCGAGCCCCGTGTCTGGCTCCTTGCTGAGGGGGAAGCCTGCTTGAGATTCTCTCTCTTTCCCTCTGCTCCTCTCCCCCACTCATGTGCTCTCTCTCTCTCTCTCTAAAAGAAAAATTAAAAACCAAAACTAAAACACAGCATGGCCAAACAGACATATCTGTGGAACATGTAATCCATGGGCCAATGGTAGTCAATCTCTGTCTTAGGTCTTCAAAGATACTAGTGGTATGGGTTATTGGTTCTTTGTGAATAACAAAAAAGTACCAATTTTATATGCAAAGATGGTGAAGGAAGTAAAATCCACCTATGGTGAGGTGGGGAGTAGGAGAGACCCCATACCCCATCCTCTTTTTCTCCTACAGTAAATATCCTAAAATGGCAACACCATTGGGATCCCTGACATTGTTATTATCTGATTTCCAGACTCTGGTTATCCTTTTTCACTTTTGGTTTAATCATTATAATATAAAAGACTTAAATGCAAATACTGGGGTGTCTTCTACAGGGGTGAACGTTCACTTACTCACTCAACTACCACTAGTCATTCATCAACTAGTCTTTCATTGTACTTCTAATATGAGATTGATGTACGAGGCTATGACCTCAAGACCAGATGTTGACTAGATATTTGCAGAAGTTGGTGATTGGTGCTCTAGTGGAGTGGTGCTCAAGGAGCCATGGGAGCTGACGGCAAGAAGGATCTTTCTTGACCATCCCAATTCCTTGGAAGCACACATCACATTTCCTATTTTGGTTTTCTTTCCCCTTGGCTAACTCTGTTAGGAAGAAGCCTCAGGCTCAAAGGTGGTATATTTGGGTGAAAGCAAAACCAAAGCCATTTACTTCTAATGTGCCTTTTTATTCCCAGTATAACGGGAAACATTCCACTGGTTCAGTCTGGTCAACAGGAAAACTACCTGTGCCGTGTATAAAAGTACTATAATATTTGATATCTACATGTCTCCTGTTAGGCATAACATGGATATTTTGGTACACAGAATGGACTTTATATGTCACAAACAAAATGTGCCACCAATTTCAGACAATTATTTTAAAAACCATTAAAGCAACTTGGAAATTATTATTTTGAACTTGATATCTGAGAATGCTAGGTTTTGTTCTTACCTCATGAGCATTTCAGCCAAACTCTTTGCATCTGGGGAAAGAAAGTTAATATTAGTACATGATAAATAACTCACTGACATTCACTTAGGCATTTATGACAAATTTTCTACAGAATCAGATGACAATAGCCATTTTAAAATGTAATTGTATACATATCACTACTAAGAACCAAAAGTTTAATGGCTTCCTTATTTATTCTACATGACAGATTATATATATAGTATGTTATATATATAATATATATTACAAAAATATATATATTACAGAAAGTATAACACTCTGGGGCCATGAAAATTCTCAGACACCTGTTAAAGGTCTTCTTACGGTGAATTTATTTGCCACATTTTGAAAACCCAATTTTATTTTCAGTAGTCAGAAAACTAAGCTTGAAAATAATTTATGGAGCAAAAATTATATTCTTTTTGTAGCAAAATACCAAAATTTGAAAACTTAGGACACCATAGATCCCTTTAAAGAGGCATTATTATAGAGCTGTGAGTCCCTTAGATTGATCAAATAATTGTATAAATGGCATATCACTACATCTAGAAACTCAGATGTTTATTTCAAACTCCAAAGTAAAAATTTTCTTTATTTTTTTGTCTCTGAGGACATTGCTTGCCAAGACCTGGTTCCCACTCCTGACAAAAGCAATTCTGCCTAAAAATTATGTAGAAAAAAAATTCTATATTTTTGGTGGCATTGCTTTGAAATTCTCATTTCTCTTAAAATATAATTTTTCTTTTTACACATTTTGTCCTGGCAAAAATGAGTGTTTCCCTTCTTAGAATACAAAAACCTTCTTCGTGCTTTATTATTTTTTTTCATTGCTTTCTATAACGTCTTGATGTTAAATGTAGCGTTCAATGAACAGAACTTTCCGGAAATGGATGCAGCTATGTGACTGGCTGTATAGTGGAGAAAATACATATGTTGGAACACTTTTATCTCATCTTTTATCTTTTGGGGGCTGACATTTAAGTGCAATCACCGTCACGTTGGGAAGCAGCGTGGTATTACCAAGGGGCGTGGACAGTCACAGGGGTAACCACACGTGGGCTGGCACCCCCGGAAATCAAAGCTCAGTTCTTAAAGTCAGCTATGCCAGTTCCCACTGGAAGCCTCACAAGGGGACCCCGGTTTTATGCACAGATGGGTTCATTCTGGAAAAGGAAGCAGCTCCAGCTCCCTTCTACTCTTGCCCATATGGTGAAGCCAAGAAAGCAAAACAGCATTTAACTTCCTAGTTCGTGTCTTTCTCTGCGGAGACCAAGCAAATACGAGTTTCTTCTCTTCCTGAATGACTTAACACTTGCGAAGTCAATATATATATAATGTCAGAAGTGTGGGATTAATGAGCTCTATGTAACGGCCAAGCAGTGGCTAGCTCAATGGTGTAAAAGAAAAGGGGAAATTTCAAGGACCATGCTTTGCACTTCGGCTCGTGACTGGAAGGCAGCTCAGTCTCAGACGTCTTCGCACTGGACCGGGTGTCCTTGTTTTGCTCATCATCATCATTTTCTTTCTGTTCCTGAAGTCAGTGCAGTTTTCTGTCCCGTGACTTTTTCATACCCATGTGCAAGGAATTGCAGCATCCGGCCAAGTGGGAACAGAGCTCCCCTCAAATAACGACAAGCTCTGACCGCAAGTTCCCCTCATCTAAAATTAGCAGGCATCTTCGCTGGGGTTCAGCTGGTCCACAGCTGCAGGTGCCGTGAGGCATTTTGGCCCACGCTTCCCTGTGCTTATCATCTTAGAGCAGATCCATTTCTCTTTCTGCCTAGCTGCTATGTCCTCCTCCTGATTTCATCTGAAATTGTGGGGAAAACGACATTAACTGAAATTCACTTCTTGTGTGAGTTCACCTTTGAGAACCGCTGGTGGAGTTTTATGCCCAGTGATGGGGTCTGGACAGCACAGGTGGCACCAGCGACTGTCCATGAATGTCTTCTGGGAGTGGGCATGGGGTGGGCTGCAGTCATAACGGAGCACTAGGCATCTGCATTGTGCCAGTCTCTGCCTGGGGACTATGATGCCCTCCTTCAGAAACCAGGAAACAGACCCAGAACATGTTCAGTAATTTGTGGCAGCTGAGCAGGAATCCATAACCAATGTCATAACCACACTTATTTTCCATCACTAGCCTTCAGGTTCTTTATGCATAGAGCGGGATCTGTGTCATATCCTAAGGGACGCACAGAGGAAGAGACACCTAGTGTCAGCTGACTGAGGGGGATGGTAAGCTGGGGGACATGAGGTGAGGCCGTTCAAGGCCGATTTGGGATCAAGTTTGAGAGAGATGTCGGGGCTGAGTTGGGGTTCAGGGTCTTCTTCGTATAGGTGTAGGGACAGTGCAAAGAGATGATGAAACCTTTTGTTTAGTGGTGAGGAGAGAATCTGGGACAAATGACGAACATTTTTAAAATCATGAAATCATAGAATCTTAAGAGCATTAAAGACTCTCCAAGTCAGTCCCCCAGTAGATGTTTGCCTTCCTCCCACAGTATCTTGGGCAGATGTTAAAATGTGCCCGGCCACTAGGTGCTCCAGAGAGGGGTCGATGCTGTCACTGCTTGTACAGCGCCCTACCTCCTGCTCTCAGTTCTGACCCACTGTCTAGTTTGTTGATCTGTCACCCTCAACATGGCCCCAGGGGACCTTTATTTTTCCCTATCTTCTCAGTTTGAATCTCATTACTCATCTGCAGCCCTCTCCCTGGCCTTGCCACCTTCAGTGTCGCCGGTCTTCTAAGCGACATCCACCCAAAGGGTGATGGATTGGGAACACACCCCCTTACGGTGTCACACCTGTGCTTTGAAACTCTCCAAGGGACCTCCCTGCCAGTAGGACTCAGCGCAGAGCAAGAACCTTCGCACGCAGCTGCTCAGCTGTTTTCTCTGCCCTGCTGCCCCTTGCATCTGGCCTCCAGCACTCTCTCTAAGGCTCTCCCTCTTGCATTCACCGTAGACGCCATGACTTGGTCTGCAGACCCCATGACTTGGCTCCTGTAAGGCGTCCTCTGTCGTAGCACCACATGCAGATGTGACTTGCCCTGTGCACCCTCCCAAGCCCCCCAGGTGAAGTTGGTGCTTTGCTTTTCTGGACTTCATGCACCTCTGCACCACGGCCAATGCAGCCTTTGCCACCTTCACACGGTGGCTTCCTGTTCTCCATGTGCTGAGTCATTTTCCTCTCTAGGCTCAGCCCAGTCCCTGCTAGACGGTGCGTCCACACAAGCTTTCCCTGAGGATACGCTTAATTGTGGGAAACATCTTCCTGCTCTTGTGTTGAACTCCCTTGATGTAATTTCTGCCTGGATACAATGACGACACCTGGAGCCATTCCATTCAAAAGCCACGTGAATATCTCCGTGCAGCTGCGTGCCATCTGTCTCTTTTCCAAGTTGAAGTTTCTCATTTCCTCAATCCCTCCTCAGATGGCATAATTTCTACGTAATCCTCTACCTGGGACTCTCCTCTGTGAAAGACCTGTGCTTTCTTATTGTCCTTTATTAAGTGAGGCAGAGCACAGAAACTGCTTATGTTTTGATATTCTCTTTATCACACACCCGTGAGAACACAATGCTCATTATGTGTGTTGCAAATGAATGTTTACAACTTACAGAGAAGACTTTACAATTCTCCCCACTACATTTTATCTCTGGTTCCAGCCTTTCAAAATCTCTTAACATTTGGATTCTTCCCGTTAATACACTAGCTTTCTCTCTGGGAGAGTTGCCACATCAAAAATGGGCTCAGCCTGGTACTCCCTTATGCCCTGTCCAAATGCAAATGGGGTTTGTCTGGGCCTCGGCTGATCCCCATAATTTCTGATTGCTCACAAACCCTCCTTTCTACAACCTGCTTTATTTCAGTCTATAATTTCTAGAATTTGTTGTTTTTGCGAAGAGGTATGGAGTATGACTATTTTCCAACACCTCTAATTTCGATGGTTCAAAGATTATTCACAAAGATTTGGGGATTATGTCTGGAAATTTTTGTCCAGAACCCCAAGACATCATCCTTTGGGGTCTAAGGACCAGTGCCACGTGATACCCTTCCTAATATTTCCAGTGGGGAAAAAATCTTTCCTTTCAGTGTATTTTCATAGCATTTACTGGTGTCCACGGTATGTGGCTGATGATTCAGAATTTGTGTAATAGTTTGTTGTAAACATGGCTTCCTCCTTGTCATCAAGAGATCAGAACTATTATTTTATGCAGTAACCCCTCTTTTGCCCCCATAATACTAGAATATAGTAGATTTTGAAAGAAAAAATCAATTTAAATAATCAGGGGCTCTGATTACTTTCTCAAGCACCTTCTATCCTCCCTTCCTCCCTTTCCTCCTTCCTTCCTTCCCTCCCCTTCCTTCCCTCCCCTTTTTTCTCTCCCAGTCTTTCTTTCCCTCCCTGCCTCTCCCCTCCTATCCCCTTTCCCGTTCCCTCTCCCTCTTTCCATCCTTTCCTTCCTTTTTTATAATTCTTGTTCCACGTTTTATGGTTTGAATAGCACTCCTCCTGGTGCACATCAAAGCGAAGCAGACGCTGAGTCGTTCTTTCTACCTGCCATCTGTTAACATGAGAACATTATCTCAAGCCTTGTTCTCTTGCTAAACAGCCTCTTGTGTTGCCTGTCACATTTTTCCCCCCACAAATTTCAGCTCAATCTGAGATTTAGACTTTGTGACACCTTGCCTAAAGCCCTTTGCTACTCCTACATATCTATCCTTGGCTCTGTGTTTCCCTCTTACTCTTTTGGGTTGGGGCATGGAGAAATATGAAATATCATCAGGATGGTCTAATGATACTGAAACACAGAGGAAAGGGGCTCTAAAAAATAAGATTTGGTAACACTCTGAACATGCAAAGAAGGCTAGCAAATGGTAGCTGGAAGGAGAATTTGGTGATCAGAAGGTAACTGGTCATCTGCCTTCAGGAGAGCATTTGGAAGGTGGGGGTGGAAGTGAGACCGTGAGGATTCAGGAGCTAGTGAGAGGTGAGGCGTCTGAGTATAGAATCCCCTTTCAATAA